CTTGCCGGAAAAAAAAAAAAAAAAAAAAAAAAAAAAAAAAAAAAAAAAAAAAAAAGGAACCCAATTTATGGTTGACCTTGGATTCACCGAGTAACAGCTAGTGGAACATTCTACTAACTGCTATTTATTCTTCCAATATTCTATTTTTAGTAAAATAGAGAAAAAGTCAACCAGAGAGCTAATACTTCATTTGATAGCATCTTCTGAACACCTAGACACTGTGCTATGTAAAATGTAGAAAAGAAACCCAGCATGCTTTTCTAAATGAATTTCTTTTAGTCATTCATTTGTTCAACAAACATAATTAAGCATCTAGCAGGATTCAGGCACACACCATGCCTTGGAGATATAGTGGGGAATAAGGCCCACACAATCCCCGCCCTTATAGCAAGAGCTTACATTCTAGGGGCAGGGGGAAAATGGGTTTTTTTGTTCGTTTGCTTGTTTGGTTGGCTGGCAGGTACTGGGATCCAAACTGTTGACCTTGGTGTTATAAGGCAGCACTCTAACCAACTGAGCTATCTGGCCAGACCTGAAAATGTTTTTAAAAAATAAATAGAATTATTATGGTTTGGGGTAAGTGCTATAAAGAACATATCTATAAAGATGGTACCATGCGAGAAAATAACAGGGAGGCCTTTTTCAGTTAGGGGGCTCAGAGGTCTCTCTGGAAGGTGACATTTAATTTGAGACCTGAGGGAACCAGCCATGGAAGAGCAGAGGACAGCCCATTCCCAGAAGCCAAAACAGCACAAGCAAAGGCCTGAGGCAACAAAGAACTTGTCACTACCAGGAACTGAGCAAAGGCCAGGGTGGCTGCAGCATGGTGGTGAGGGAGCTGGGGGCGAAGAACTTGAGACAAGATTGGAGACAAGGTCAGGGCTAGTACATGTAAGACCACTCAGTCTGTAGTCAAGAGTTTGGATTTTATTCTAAGTACAAATGAAGCCATTGGAGTTTTAAGGGTGTATGAGGGGCAGATAGGATCTGATTTAATTTTTAAAAGATCTCCCAATGAGATTTCATTTTTCATTTTTTAGATTGGCCAAGAGAGCAAAGTTTGATGACAAACATGCTGCAGAAGGTGAGGGAACAGGCCACCACATCGTTGCTGGTGGGTTTGTAAACAGTTCCACTTCTATAGAGGTCAATTTGGCAAAGATCCACCAATATAAAAAATGCACGTGCCCTCTGATCTACAATTCCCCCCTAGGAGTTTATCTTACAGATGGACTGATCCAGGTGCACAGGTGCAAAATAACCCCTGTTCAAGGATGCCCACTACAGCCTGTGTGTATTGGCATCCTGTTGGAAACAACCTCGATGTCCACCTACCTGGGACCGGAAAAATAAATCACACTGCCTCTGAGTGATTAAATAATCCAGCAGAGAGGAGGAACTGATGATTTGGGAGGAGAGGGGACACCAAAGGCAGGTGCTTAGAGGGTAGCTGCACAGACATGACAATCACACACAACGTTTACACACAAGACTCCTGGAAAGACACACATGCAACTTAGAAGCAGACATGGCCTCTGGAAGTGGATGCCGGGGTGGAAACCAGGAGTGAGAGGCCCTTCCCTGCAGGCCCTCAGCTCTACTTGAATGTTTGTGTGTGTTTAACGCATTGAGCGGGTACTAAAATTAGCCTCGTAAATAAGTAAATGACAAGAAAGCATATATTAGATGACAGGTAAACAGTGCAGATAAGACCTGATGAGGTGAAGAAGATCCAGGGTCCTCAGGGTTTCTGGGATGTGCCCAGGACTTAGGAACAACTGGCCCAGATACCTCAGCATTCCCTGGCAGCGTCTCTGCATGGGCTTTCTTCCCTCCTCCTTTCTGGGGACTGGCTTTACCAGCTTCTTGCATATTCATGAGGGGCCACCTGGCACCCAGCACCCCACTGGGAAAGGGTGATGGGATTTCTTCCTGCCCAGTCCCTGCAGGGGCAGGATGGGAGAATAACCCGAGGCCAAGGAGGGGAGTGGGGCATCTGCAGCAAGGCCGGGGAATGCCCACATCCACCCCCTCTCAAGCCCAGGCCTGGGCCTTCCGAAGGACAGGGACTCAGCTCCACCAAAGTCTCCAAATGTCCAAGGGATGACAAGTCAGAAGAGATTCATACACATGTTGGCCCTGGGGTATAGGACCTACCAAGGCAGAAATGTCTGCTAAGGGGCCGGCCTGTGGCTCACTCGGTAGAGTGCGGTGCTGATAACACCAAGGCCACGGGTTCGGATCCCATATAGGGATGGCCGGTTCGCTCACTGGCTGAGCGTGGTGCTGACAACACCAAGTCGAGGGTTAAGATCCCCTTACCGGTCATCTTTTAAAAAAAAAAAAAAAGAAATGTCTGCTAAGGGGCCGGCCTGTGGCTCACTCGGTAGAGTGCGGTGCTGATAACACCAAGGCCACGGGTTCGGATCCCATATAGGGATGGCCGGTTCGCTCACTGGCTGAGCGTGGTGCTGACAACACCAAGTCGAGGGTTAAGATCCCCTTACCGGTCATCTTTTAAAAAAAAAAAAAAAGAAATGTCTGCTAAGGGGCCGGCCTGTGGCTCACTCGGTAGAGTGCGGTGCTGATAACACCAAGGCCACGGGTTCGGATCCCATATAGGGATGGCCGGTTCGCTCACTGGCTGAGCGTGGTGCTGACAACACCAAGTCGAGGGTTAAGATCCCCTTACCGGTCATCTTTTAAAAAAAAAAAAAAAAAAAAAAAAAAAAAAAAGAAATGTCTGCTAAATGCTCAGAAATATTTTTAAGCAGCAAGGTTTGGAGCGTTTGGGGTTAACCCTTCATCTGAAAATTACTGAATAAAGATTACTTTCCATGTACCTACTATGTGCCAAGTCCTGTATTAGACACATAGTGCTCTCTAATTGATTTAATACTCACAACAACCATATGGGGTAAAAACTACTATTAATCCCATTTTACAGAATGGGCAAATGGGCACCCAAGGTCAGACAGCTGGTGGGTGGCAGCCCTGAGATTTGAACACAGGTTGAGTAAATCTCAGCTTTTAACTCTGTTTACCTGCACACACTATACCTCACTTAGTGTCTCACAGGCCAGCATGTGGTTTCCCCACAGAGCAGAGGGCGGGCTGGACAATCAGGACTTGAACCCTGGAAAGAATGCTGGTTGTGTTTAGATCCTCCTGTCTGGCATCCAGGGAAAATTTCTAAGACTACACTGCCTCCAGGGTTTGGCCCTGCTGCATAGACTTAAACGCAGGTAGCAACTCAGCACCTGACCCACCCCAGGCCATTCACCTAAGCTGCCCAGCCTGGCTGCCCCCCAGCCATGATATTGGTCTGAGAGTAGGTGTAGGCCCTAAGATGGACTGATCAGAAAAGAGCCACTGTTGGGGGGTGGACTTCTCACTCTCTGTGTCCTGCTAGATGTACAAAAGAAAGCCTTGGCCTTGACTGCAACCAGGAAGAGAATCAGCCTTGGGGAGATGCTGAAGGCAGCAGAGCCCAGAGGTGGAAGGAACCTGTGTCTCTGAAGCCCTGTTGATAAGACCCTCCTTGCAGCATCAACAGTCTTGGCACCAAATGCCCTTGTTGTTTGTGGCAGGTGCTCGGCTTACCTCTGACTTCAGCCGCAGCTGCGAGGATGCTCACTGACAACGTCCCCTCTCACCCCCCTTGCACCTGCCTCAGAGAGGTCTCTGAAGCCACAGAAGCCTATGCAGCCCAGAAGCCAGGCAGAAGGGAGTTAATCCCCTTGGGATGTCCCTCAGCTGTTGGGGGGATCAGTGCCCCAGGCTCCGGTCCTTAGGTGGTCACTTCTGGGAGGCATTCTAGATATTTCTGAGGCACAGGGAATGGAGCCCTCATCCCCTGCAGTAGTAACCTCAGTGACACACCTGCTTTTTGGTCCTTTTCCTCACTCGCTGCAGCTTCCTGAAGTCACCTCCCAAACAAACCACCTGTACCCAAGTCCCTGCCTCAACCTTGCCTCCAGTCACTTCGGATGAGCTTTTCTGCTACCTGCAGGCAAAGCATCCTTTCTAGCTGCACCATCCTGGGTTAACCCATTCGCAGGATCCCCGTCAAATGCATCCTCATGGTGGTGGGTTTCCTTCCTAAATGCCGACCTGCCCCGAACACGCCACAGCCAGAAGCCCTCCATGGCTCTCACTGCTTCTCTGGCTGTTCCTGACTGTCTGTGGCGAGGCCCCAGCTCACACCCTGCACCTCACATTCTTGACCTCTTCCTGGGACCCTGGTTCTGCAACAGTGCGGTGAAGGCAGGCATTCCCAAGTGCACCTCCAGGCCTCTGCTCACACCATTCCCTCTTCCTAGGAAGGCTTTTCCTTCTGCTGGATGGCAAAATTCTAATTATCTCTTAGTGAGTCTAAATCAAGTCACCTCTCATCCCCGACACGTGCAGGAAGGATTTCACCTACGACAGTCCTCCACTTGTTAGAATGTACTCCAGCCTGACATTAAACCAAGTGCTTTATGTTCATTACCTCACTAAATTCCTGTGAGAGCCTGGGCAAGTGAGTTATGGCCATCATCTCCACCTAACAGACGATGAAACCAAGGCGTCAGAAGCTCACACCTCTGTCAGGTTTAGATCCTCCTGTCTGGTGTGTGGGGCAAATTTCCAAGGTTACACTGCCTCTGGGGTTTGGCCCTGCTAGAAAGACTTAAGTAGAGGTGACAACTCAGCTCCTGACTCACCCCAGACCATTCATCTAAAACATCCTGGCATGCAGCTGGGTTGTGATCCCAGCCATCTGACTGACCCATAAGCAGAAAGGGAGCAGCCTATCGGATTGGTGGGCAGGCTGGAGAAGCAGACTAGGAGCTGTCTGTTAAGGTCACTGCCGGGTCACCTCTGACACAGGATCCAGCCCACTGGTGGGAGCCCACTGTGGGGTGTGCAATGGGGCATCCCCCTGCCCCCAGGTGACCAGTGTCCCTTGTCACACACATACACCCCAGTGTCATGGGGTGCCCTCCTACCACCCACGGACTTTGTTTTATTGCTCCTTGGGACACCGGCTTCTTTTCACCTTGGGTCTTATGTTGGTATATGTTGGTCACCCTTGTAGGGACCACATCTCGTCTGTCTCTGAACCCAGTGAGCACAGGACAAATGCCCCACATCCAAAGGTCTTTGCCTCAACAAATGTTTGTTAAATGAGCATGAGACTCAGGAAAGAAAGTGACTCCACTAAGGCGGAGATTGTAAACTGGTATCCACAGATGGATTTTGTTGGGTTAAATGTGGTATTTAAACATTATGAAATCCCTTGAGGAATAATCTGGATTTCTGGCTTTTCCAGGAAAAGGAGAAAATCTGGAACACTCAGCCTGCACTTCCCCTCTCTGCAGACCCCCACCTCAACCCCTTGTGCTTGGCTCCACCCTCTGTCTGAGTCCCTGCAGATATGTGTGACAGCCGACTGCCCCGCCCCACCCTGGCCACTCACATTCATCATGTTGCTGATCTGGTTGTTGCCCAGTGACAACACTTGCAGCTTGACAAGGGCATCCAGAGAGTCAATCTTGGAGATCCGGTTGTTGAACAAGCTCAGGTCCTCCAGGTTCACCAGCGTGTCCAGCCCCTCGATGGCCTCAATGTTGTTGAAGGACAGATCTGGGAAGAGAGAGGTCTGTGAGGGTCTGCTGCCTGGGTTAGGGGACGGGCTGTCCTCAACTAAAACCGTCAGGCTCTGTGAGCCAGCATCAAGGTGTGGGGCCAGGAACTGACTCCCTGTCTAACAGCTTCCTGTTTTCTAGAAGCCTGGTGTGGATTCTTTCTTGCAGTCTCAAGCGTTCACCACACTCTCCAGTTCTGCCAATCATCCTGCTGACTGGGGGCTGTGGGCAAATACTCATGTCGATGCTCTGTCATCGTTCTGAGATGGAGATGCTCATGAACAGGTCTGAAGCAGTGCACCTTGGGGATCAGGAGCAGGCAGCTGAGGAGTGTCTCCTTCCCTCACACATGGGGGCATTTTAACAAGACCACTTCCTGGCTGCTTGGCATTTATTAGGTGCTTGTGTGTACGTCCTCCCACTACAGCCCTTAGTGATAGTTTGGAATTCTCTCCCTGTTTGAGCAATTGGGAAGTGGAGGCTCAGAAAGGCTCAGTGATTTGTCCAAAGCCACATAGCTTACTGCGGTGGGGCCTGAGTGCATCGGGGCTTCTCCCTGAATGTGTGGCAGGTCAGGTCCTTCCAGCTACATCACAGATGACTCAGGCTCCCTCCCCAACCCCAACCCCACCCCCCACTGAGACCTCAGAATTCTCCACAGCCCAAGTTCTACATCTTTGGGAATAGAAGCACTTTTTCCCCACCACAGGTTTTTAGGGTTGGTTAGTGGTTTGGGCTGTAATTCTGTCCTGGAATACCACCCAGTGGTCCAAAGGCCAAAACTGGGAATTTTTCCTGAGCTTGGAAATATGACTATGATAATCACAAACAATCACATTTAAAAGGTGATTTGGGAGATTAGTTAACCAATCTTAATTGCTGACAGTTGAGACTAATGATAACTTACGGTCCCTTTCTCTACGCCAGACCCTTTAATTGCATTACCTTACTTGATCCGCATAGCATGGGCATCAACATCCCATTTTATAGATGAGGAAACCGAGATTCTCAGGGGCCTCATGGTAATATGCTCAAGGTGGTGCAGCACATAAAGCAACTGAGGTTCAGAGAGCTGACAGCACTTATGTACAGTCGGTGGCTGGCAGTGCTGGATTTGAGCTGGGGTCCACCCAGTGCCAAGCTTGTGCACTTCCCTTCCCACCATGCCAGCGGGTTCTGTTCTTAGCAGCCTGGCCCACTCCCTGGAACTAGTGGTGTGCTAGTAAATGTTTAACAACAGGGGCAGGGGAAGTCTGCATCTGTAGCACTTGCTGATTTCTGTGATGTAGACACTCCCACCATGGCCAATTTCAAGCTACCAGCATGGCATCCCTGGAAGCACAGTTGGGAAGAGAGGCACAAGCAGCTTTAAGAGCCCCAGCACCCCTTGGCCCTGTGGCAGCTGACTGCCATGGGTCAGCAGCAGGGCCTGTGCATGTAGGTGTGGGGGCTGTGCTGAACCGTCCAAGTGCCCTGCCTCCACCATCTGCCCTGGTACTGCAAGGACCCAGCTCTTCCTGCTGTGGTTGGGTCCCTGGGCAACTAGTGCTGTGGCTGGACAAAGGTGGGCTTCTGACTGTTTTCTGAGGGGGTAGTATGATACCAGAACTTCCCCTCTCTGCTTTTGCAGCCCCATCCCAGGGAGCGCCGGGCATCAGTCCACACTACCCTTAGAAGAGGGGATGGCCACTGCAAGGGGTCTGGGAACAAGCCACCTTCCTGTTTGTGTGCGCAGGGGCTCCGCTGGTGGGGAGACAAGCTTTTGTTCGGGAAGGAACCAAGACCATTATTCAAGTTTCTCTGGGTGAGCAGGCAAACAGGGGGCTCTCATGGGGAGCCGCGCACTTTCTTTATGTCTGAGAGAGAGCAGGGCCTAAAAACACGGCATTCAGACAGCCTGTGCATGGCAGACCTTCCCAAAGTGGGGGCTTGGCTCAGGGGATGGGCTGGCCCAGGCACCTTCAGGACTGTCAGACCACTGTCTTCATCTCTTACAGAGACAGATGACTCCTGGCAATGCAGATGGGCCACTGAGCCCGGGAATTAGTATTAGTGGTTGCTAGGGTGAGTGACCTGGGCCTGGGAGTCAGGAGACCTGGCTGTGGGTCTGTTTTTGCCATCTGCAGTGTGTAACTCCATCAAGCTGGTCAGCCTCTCTGAGTCTCACTTGCTACATCTGTGAAATGGCAGCATAACCCTGTCTATGGGGTTGCTGTGGGCTTGCAATCATCAACACAAACACAGTTGAGAGTTTTGCAAACTGAGACGTACACTGATGCCCCAGGTTGCCCTTGTTACTGGGAAGCAGCCTCACAGGATACAGGGAATGTGAGCTTTGGGGTGAGACAGGAGGGGTGGGAGTCTCAGCTCTGTTGCTTCTTGGTCATGTGGCTTTGGGTAGGTGCCTTGCCTCTCTGAGCCTTGGTTCATCTTCTATAGACTGGGATGACAGACGCCATCTCTTAGCACTGTTGTGGGGGCTATATAGGACAACATGTGTAAAGACCTTTCAGGCCTGTCCCCTTTTCCCTGTTGGGTGCCCACCTGCCACTCACCAGATGTGAGTGTGCTCCTAAGAGGTCAGCAGATGGACACAGTTCATCAAAACCCCCTGTGGCCTTACAGAGCCGGGCTGGGAGCCTGATGTCCCCATTTACTTATTGTGGCCTTGGTTTGTTCATGTCTGCAATGGCCATGGGCATGCTGTGTGGACTAAAAGATCTCAGCCCACACCTAGCATGTAGTTGAGTGCTCAATGCACACTAACTTCTGCAAGGATTATTTCTGGTTTATTTTATTTGTTTGGCAGCTCGCTAGTATGGGGATCAGAACCCATGACCTTGAGGTTATAAAGCTGCAGTCTAACCAACTGAGCTAACCAGCCAGCCCTACTTTTGGTTTAATCTGAGCCCCACCAGTCAATGGTTATCTGTCATCCTGAGTCTGGATTAAATGGGAGTCAACCCGTACTGGCCAGCCTTCCAAAAAAAAAAAAAAAAAAAAAAGGAGTCAATAGGTGCTCCTTTGTGCCCACTCAGACAGAGAAGTTGGGCAGGTGGGAGCAGAATATTCTGTCCTGGTGTGTCCAAGCACATCTTTGCTGTGCTTTGCCCCGCATAAGCCTCAGGCTTTTAAAAAATAGCAGCTTTCTTGCTCCCAGCAGACAGAACTTCTATCGCTGGACTAATGACGGGCTGGTAGCTGAGTGTCACATGTAATTATTGTCTCCTGGGGAGGCACTAACTGTGGCAGGACATCACCTTCGATTAGGATTGACACATACAGGAAAAAGCCCTTACCCAACCAAACCAGGTGTATGAGGTTCTCCAGGCCCTCGATCCTCTCAATGATGTTATTGTCCAGCTGCAGCTTCCTCAAGTTCTCAAACTGCCAGAGGTTGTCTATGCGGAGGATGTCTGAAATAATTGGAGGAGATTCCAGCCTTGGGTTAGGATTAGAGTTTTGTACCCGTGTATTTGGGACTGAGATGTAACTGTATAAAAGGCCCCATGACTACTCTGCCCGGTGGGGCACTGAGGAGCTGCCGCGTCCCTATAGTGAGCTGGGTGGGCGGGGATCAGTGCTGTCACCCAGGGCTGCAGGAGGGCCTAATAGGTCTACTGGGGGGAGGGGGGAAATTCAAGAGGGCCGGTGTGGGGGTGAGCTGGACCTGCCCAGGGCAGGAGACTCACTCATACTGCTTCTGGGGCCAGGCTGAGGGCTCCTTAGGAACCTGGTACACCTTATGGCATAGGGCACACAGAGGCTTTCCTTCCACAGTGTGACAAAAGAATCAAAGCAAGTGTCTCAGTTGGTGGGAGGGCCAAACAACTAGTTCAGCATTTTGGAGGGTAGTTTAGCAACATTTACTGAAATATTTAATGTCTGTGCCGTTTAACTTGTAATTTCTCTACTTGGAATCTGTCTCCAAAGACACACTTGTGTATGTGTCTGGAGAAATACCTACAGGCATGTGAGGGGCAGAAAACCTGGGGAGAACCCCAAATATCCATATACAGTGGATGGGATAAATTGTCTGTACAATAGAGAGGCAGGTTCCTGATATCACCGGAGCACCTGGACCCGATGCCCCTTGAAGCCCACCCACCCCAGCTACACAGCCAGCTCCTTCCCTCTGCTCCAAAAGCTTGGCAGAGTTTGGTTTCTGTCACTGGCAGCCAGAAGAGTCCTGAATGACACAGAAGTGTAAATAAATTTATATGTATATGTAAAATTCTAGAGACTAAACTTGCACCCCAGCTTTCCTAGAAGCCACATATAGCTGTTGTTTACATGCCCCTTTTTTCTGTGTTTGCTTTTGTAATGATTTCCAAAACTTATAAAATTCAAAACTGCTCATTAAAAGAACTGAAATAATAGAAGTAAAAGGGATTTTTTAAAAGAATGTGGTTAATAAACCACTCATTGGGGTGGCAATTTCAATATTCAGGCAGGGCCTACCTGTTAGGCTGTGGAAATCCGGGGGGTGCCTGAGGGAAGACAGGGTCTTGGTCGGGGGTGGACAGGGTTCTCTGACCAAACCCTGGGGCCCATTGCCCATCCCCTAGAGCTGGGCTACTCACTCTGCCTCTCCTGAGTGCCTGTTCTCCAGCTCCCTGTTCATGGCCAGATTTCCCAGAGTGATATTTGCTGTCAGGCCCACCTCTTATCCCTGGTCTGGCAGCGCCCAGTTCTGCCCCAGGTTTTGGCCACCTCCCATCCCTGGTCTGGATTTTCCAGGTGCATTCTCTGGCCCTCATCTTAGATGGGCAGCCCTTCAGCCCCACTTCGCCCTTGGCTGTTGCCAGCCACCCCCTGGGTGGCTCCTGTACACCTGGGTGCTCTGCCACACACACCTGCAGGGCTGGCTTTTTCCTAGGCATCAGCAGTTCATGTGGAAAAGCCAAAACAACACAACAAACCAGGATGTATTTGGCAGTGAACTCCAAATGAATTACCAGCATGACAGCACTGCAAAAAAAAATGTTCAGTCCAGACACTGAATCTGCCTCTGTGGCCACAACCTTCACCCAGTCCATTGTCATTGCTCCCTGGGCCACAGCAGTGGCTGTCTCAGTAGATCTCTGCTTTGACCCCTGTACCGCCAGTCTATCCTCCCACAGCCAGTGGTGTCCTGTGAAAACCTAAGCCCCATCTGGTACCACTTCTGCTCAGGATTCTCCCAAGGCTCCCAGCTCACTCTCTATAAAACCCAAACACCTTCCATTGGCCCCAAGGCCAACACCAGCTGACCCATGGCCTCTCTGACTGTCTCCACACTGGCGTCTGCAGCAGGCCTGATGAGGCTAGGTCCAGCCTGCCTCAGGGCCTTGCATTGCCTGTCCCCTCTGCCTCGCGTGCTTTTCTTCATGGATTTCCATGCAGTTCCCTCCCTCACCTTCTGTAAGCATTTGCTCAATTGTCACCTTGTCACCTCTGGCCACCTCAAAAATGCTGCACCCCACCCCAACTCCTTTTCTTCTCTCCTTGCTTTATTTTTCTCCATAGCACATATTATCTTTAGCATACAGTTTTATTTTCCTTCTTTATTTATTTGTTTCCCTGACTCAAATTTCAGCCCCATGAGAACAGGGCTTCTTGTCTTTTTTGCTGAATCCCTAGTGCCTAGAACAAACATGAACCTTGTGGGGGTAAGGAAAGTGGTCAGCTGCTAAAGCCCCTGCTGGGACGGCCATTTTGCACCCCTCTATCCTCTCTGGGCTGAGGGTACTGAGGCTTAGGGCCCTCCCTGCTCTGCGTGGTCAGCCCTGGAAGCCACACTTTGGGAAGCCTGTGGGCTTCGAGAGGCTGCAGCCAGGGTCATACCTGTCTTGCCCATGGCAGTGTCCCCAGGGTCTGACACAGGGCTGGGCTGAGGCAGGGTCTTAATAACTCCTTGTTATTGACTGGCCAGTCTAGGGCCCCCAAGATGGAGCAGGAACGTCAATCAGACCAGGTCACTCTGCTGTGGCCTTGCCTGCACAATACACGAGGGGTCTCAGGATGCCTGCCAGCCTTTCTCACTTCCTCTTGCACCCCCTCCTCCCCAACTCACTGTGCATGCCTCCTTGGCCTTCCTGTGTGAACCTGGCATTGTGCATAGGTTGCCTCACCTTGTCCTCCCAACCAGTGCTTGGGACAGGAACTGCAGTCATCCTGTTTCACAGATGGGGACACTGAGGCAGTAAGGATCTGCCTGTCTCAAGCCATACCTTCCCACTGGGATGTCCTGCCACTCCTGAGGTGCCTCCCTGCCTCATGGCCTTGTGCCTCTCCGGTTTCCAGCCCCTCTTTGGTCACCTCTCCCCTGAAACTGCTCCCCCAACCCTGTGCCACCTCCTCCCCCTTTTCCCCAAGCTTCCCACCCCCAGCTCCTGACTACATGGGACCTCCTATGTTCTCCCTGCCAGGGACCCCCACTCCAAGTATACCAATGTGGAGTCGTGTGATGGAAACAGCATGGTATCTGGGGTTCACTTATATTTGGAGTGGAACAATTTTATATTTTCTTCTGTCCTTATTCAGAATTATGAGTGTTGTGGAAACTTCGAATGATGATGACATTAACTATAAAGTTTTAAAAACATCTATACTGCTCCTCTGCCTTGGTGCACTCCAATGCTGATGTAGGTCCCTCGACTGCAGACTTTGTGTGGAATTCTGGGTCTAGAAGGTGGAGTAGAGAGAGCCAGGGCAGCCTGCCTTGTGTCCCCGCCCCACCCAGGCCTCCCCCACTGCAACTGGGATACGCACTCTGGAAGTCCAGCCGCAGGGACAGGACGTCTTTGAAGAGGATGCCCTCCTGCTTGGCCAGCTGCCCAGCCTCCTCCCGGGGGCCCTGCTCCCCTACAGCCAGCTTGAGCATGTCATCGTCCATCACTCTCGGCTCCATCGAGTCATGCAGGTGGTTCATCTTCCCCAGGCTTCCCTACAAAACACCGTGTTCCTCTTTCACAGCCTGTTTCTATTGTTTGTTTGAGGACAGGGTCTGGCTGAGTTCTCCTCTCAAGGTGGCGTGGAATGTCATGGCAGCCACCAACACTCTGAGGGCTGTGCCACTCCCACCCCTTGGCCCACTGCGCCTTGAGGTTAGTGCATTTGCACCAAGGCTGCTCCAGGGCTTCCTGCCACCATCTGGGCCCATCCATGGGGTTCATCCCTTGACCCCATGACCACAGCTCAAACCCTACGTGGACCCCCTAGACTAGCGTGCACACTGGTCTCCTTAGCTGGTGGATCTCAGCTCCTCTGAAGGCCGGGGCCCTGTGTCAGGCCTCTGACTTTCTGTGCCCATACTCATTCAGATGTCCTGGTGTCAGCCACTGACTCCCCTGGCAGCCCCGGCCAGGCATGCCAGCCTGCAGCTCCCCTCCCCTCCCCTCCAGGCAGTCAGTGTGTGTACTCCCCCCACCACATCGCAACTTGGCCCAGTGGGTAGGAGGCACTGGCCCAAGCTAGTCACTCATGTTCTCCCCCTGAGAAATGGGAGCTTGGGGCTGCAGGATGAATGCCTATCAGAGCTGGCCGCCTGGGCTGGGGAGGAACTAGGAAGCCGTGGGCTGGCCAGGCACATGGCTAAGCAGAGAGCCAAGAGGCGCGTGAGGCAGGTGGACAGAGAGAAATAGAGATGGGAAACTGGGTGATCCAGGGAAAAAAGACAAAGGACAGACTGACACAGACAGAAACTGCCTCTCCTTGCTGGCTTTCTAATCCCTAAATGCCCCTAAATCCAGGTCCTGTGGGAGTTTCTGTGTCTCTTTCCATAAGAGTGTCTTGATTTCTCACATTAAATCCTCTTTTACTTTAGCTAACTCTGGTAGGTTTATGTTGTTAATGGTCCAAAGGGATTTGGCTGAGATGCCACAGGCAAAGGGGGAGATCTGTGGATTTGGCCAGTCACACTGCAAGACTGACCCAGGACTGCTATTCCTGGCTGGACAGAGCCACAGCCCTGGGAAGCCTGGGCGCCCAATCTTGTTCTCATCAAGACCAACCTTCTTGGTGAGAACATCCAGAAGGATGGACCCTGAAGGCAGCTATACTCTCCTGTCAGTCTACTGGGATTCTGCCTCCTGAACCCTCTGGAAACTCAGTCCCATCTCTGCTTTGCACCCCCCTACTGCTCACCTTCCTGCTGGCCTCACCTGCTATCTTTGCCCACATGTCTCCCCAACATCCAGGCCTCCCTGAACCTCCTGTCCTCCCTGCCCTGCTGGTCCCTGGTGCTGGGCCGCCCTGTGTGCTGCCTTTCATTCCACTGAGCACTGCCAGAGAGAATCCTAATGTTGGGCTGATGATGGTGTCCACCACAGTTGGGCTGGACAATCCTGTCACCTGATCTTAGAGACTCCCCTCTAAGACTGCCCTCCTTCCTTCCTCTCCCACCATCCACTTGGGTGCAGATTGTAGAAATATGCATTCTCCATTCCTGGACTGTCCCTGATCAAATTCCCAATGCCTTTTTTTTTGGTGGCTGGTACAGGGTTTCAACCCTAGACCTTGGTGTTATTTTATTTATTTATTTTTTTTGTCTTTTTTCGTGACCGGCAACGGATCGCAACCCTCAGTGGGAGTGCCACCAGGCCAGCCCTAGACCTTGGTGTTATTTTATTTATTTATTTTTTTTGTCTTTTTTCGTGACCGGCAACGGATCGCAACCCTCAGTGGGAGTGCCACCAGGCCAGCCCTAGACCTTGGTGTTATTTTATTTATTTATTTTTTTTGTCTTTTTTCGTGACCGGCAACGGATCGCAACCCTCAGTGGGAGTGCCACCAGGCCAGCCCTAGACCTTGGTGTTATAAGCACCATGTTCTAATCAACTGAGATAACCAGCCAGTCCCCAATGCCTTTAACTCTCATGGGTCCTACCCTCTGCCTCTAGAGGAGGTACAGCCTCCAAACACCCCCCTACAACCCCCTCTCCACCTGGGCCTTCCATCCTCTAAGACCTTGGCCCTTTTCTTCCTACTCTTCTCCAACCTCTCCACAGTGGTTCCACCTTCTTAGTGTAATTGATTCAACCCCCAAAGACGTTTCCAGTCCTTGATCTCTCCCCAGCTCCCCACTCTCCTGAAATGGTTTTCCCTAAGCTTTCCCCTAACTTGCCACCAACCTGCCTTGGGGGAAATTTTAATGTGTTCTATTTGGCAGAAGTTATCTACAAAATGTTTGGGCTTTTTCAAAAAAGGTGCTTTACTTTGGTAAACGACTCAGTTCCCTCCCACTTCATCAATGCCTGGTACCTGTGACAGATCAGGCTTGTGTTCAGTCAAGCCCAGCACTTGCTGTGCAATGTGGAATCATTGTCACACACACTATTTGTTAAGCACACGGGCAGGATTTGGATCCTGACTGTACATCTTTTGGTAACTCACTTCACCTGTGTAAGCCTTCACTTTCCCATCTCTAAAAGGCAGGTAATTCCTCTCTTTTGTATTTGTGTAAGATCATGTGTTTAGTCCGCACATGTGTACTGAGTAACTACAACATACCGAGAATAAAACAGATCTCCTAACCTCTGTTTCAGACATGAGTCAAATAATCATACAAATATTTAATTACAAACCATGACAAGTTTGTAGGTGTAGGAAACCATGAAAGCCTACATTAGGGGCACCTGGCTTGGCCAGGGGAGTCGGGACTGAGATACGAAGGACAAGGAGAGAAGAAGGAAGAGGGACTGAATGGCAATGGTGCTGGGGTGGGAGAGAACTGACATGTTCTACTTTGGCTGAAGTGATGCAAGGTTGGAGAGGCCTGCAGGAGTTTTATTATTAGCTCAGAATAGCTGGGAAGCTCCTATGGCTTAATAAGGATAGTGACATGATCAGATTTCAATTTTTTTTTTCCTTTTTGTCTTTTTTTCATGACCGGCAACGGGATCGCAACCCTCGATGTCGTGCCTGCACCACGCTCAACCAGTGAGCGGACCGGTCTGTATATGGGATCCGAACCCTCGGCGGGAGCGCCGCCACGCTCCCAAGCGCCGCACTCTACCGAGTGCGCCACCGGGCCAGCCCAGATTTCAATTTTAATAAGCTGACTCTAGCTGCAGAACTGAGAACTGCAAGAGTAGTGAAGCGAGAGAAGACTGAGGTGGTGGTGTGGATTTGAGCTATCTCTAGGAACTTAATTTATATGTAGGACTAATCATCCCCTATTTCCAGATAAGAAGACAGAAGCTAGTTAGAAAGGTTAACTAACATGCCCAACTTTACACACTTAGCATATGGCAGATCCCATTTTCCTAATCATGACTCAACTGTACCCAGGGTACTAGGGACTATCATTGTTACAGCTCACAATGTTTCTCACAGCTGTTCTGTATCAGGGCCAAGGCCTAACCAATTCTTCCCTATGGATATTTTATCAGTAATTTACCCCTCAACTTGGGTCCCCATTGACTTGCCTGACGATAGTGTTGTTGGTGAAGACCAGAGGTAGGAGGTGTGGAAAACAGCAGAGAGTTTTACACAACGGTCAACAGAGTAGCCTCTTCATGGAGAAACAGATCCAGAATTTTCCTGGGAAACCACAAGCTGGGGTCAACTGGATCTGAAAAATATAATCCTTATTTGCCATGATTAATAGGAAGAAAACCAAACACTGAGTGCTTACTATGTACTCAGTGCACATGCGTTATTTAATTACATGTCAGCTCTGGAGGCCACTGAAGAAAGGAGTCCTGACGCCCTTATTTTCCAGAGAGGAAAAATGAGCCCTGGAGAGGGGAAAGAACTTGTCCAAAATCATACAATGACTTACTGATAGAGACAGACACGGAACCTGAGTCCTCATCTTCCCAGCCAAAGCACTTTATACAGCACCCAGATGAAATAATTTAGTGAGAATGAAGAGGTCGGAAATGATGGCTAAATTCTGGAAATAGTTATCCGTAGACCGGGTACCTCTCTTTCTATGAAAGGGACCAGGTCACTAGGCTGGGGGATAGAACCCCTTTAAAATTCCTTCTGGTCCTGCTCCCTGAGGAAATGCTCCCTTAGCATTCTTTCTCGTCCAGAGGCCTGTAAAGTCCAGGATTCAAGTGACTTGACTGTCTCAGCGCGACTGTAAAATGGCTGGCAGAGGACCTGTGTGTTCACTTTACAAATGAAAAGAGCCGGGCGGGACTCCTCCAAGAAAAAGGTCGCAGGACAGAGTGAAGTCGCGAGCTCTGTGCTCCTGCGAGTCCTCCCGAGCCTCAGCTCCTGGGTCTCACCTTCTCAAGCACCTGCTGCCTGGCTGGTTCCGCGCAGCAGACGCGTCGCCCAGTTGCTGGGGAACCGAGAACAGCCACTCGGTTGCTAAGCGGAAGTCTGGAGATAAACATCCTGGGTGAAAGGTGACAGACCACGTGACCACATCTCGGGTGGGGAAATACTCCTAACACCAACCAGCGGTAGAGAAAACAACGTTTCTCCAAATCTGCGCTTTCTGTGGGCGGGCATCTTTCCCTTCTCCACCCCCACTATTTGAGTGATTGACTCATCTTTTGTCCAATAACAGTAAGGACTCTCTAGATTGACCGATAGACAGATGAATCAAAACGCATAGCCTCTCGTCCGGGGCGGGCCAGGGGCGGTGTCGCTACGCCTGACGGGGCCTCCGGTGATCTAGCTCGCTCCTCTGCCAATCGAACGCCGCGGGGTGGGTGGGACTTCGCCGGGGGGTTGTGAAGGCCAATCGGAGAAGGGCTGTGCGGGCGTAACCCAATAGAGACGCGTCAAGGGGGCGGGGTCACGGCCCGGCGCTCCGCGTTCCTGAGGGTGGGGCGGGGGCAAGTGTCAGTCAGGTCCGGAGCGCTGCTGGGGCCCGCCGAGACCGCACCGGCAGGCAGGGGCCCGGGCCGCTGCGGTGCTGTCCTCCCAAGATGGAGTTCCTCCTGGGGAACCCGTTCAGCACCCCAGTGGGGCAGTGCCTCGGTAAGGCCGCGCGTGGGGCGGGCGGCTGGGTGGGCGACGGAGGCGGCTGACCGGGCTTGTGAGGGCCGCGGGCCTCAGCCGGGCGCCGGTGCCACCTCGCTCGAGGCCGGCCGTCCTGGTCGTCGGGCCGCTGCCACGCGCCTGTGCCGCCTCAGGGGCGCCAGTGCCATCCTGCGAGAGGCGCCCCTGTGGCCCAGCTTGGATTCGGAGGCGTTCCGCGGGCGTCCCTACTTCTCAGGGCCCAGCCCTTCCTGTCTCTCCTAGAGATGGTGCCAGCTGATGGTCTGCTTACCCCTCGCCTTGTCGGGAGACACCACCGCGTACACCTTTATCCAGCCCGTCGGTCTCGCTGCCACTTCCCCCAGGACTCAGTTCTCCCAGACCCTTCGTACGATGTCACCTCCTTCTCTCTCCACCCTTGTCCCTCCTCTTCAGTACCAGCAGCCCTCGCACTGGGCACCCTCCCAGAAAATGCCCCCTGCTCCAGGTCTCGCCAATTTGAGCTGCAGCTCAGCTAGGCTGTAGGAGGGACTGGGATTGGGGGAGGGGTTCTTCAAGGGTGATTATCTTGGCAGGGGGATTGGCATGCCTGCAGTGCCTCCCAGGAAAGAAGGAAAGAAGTGTCGTTTAATGATAAGAGCCTGGACTCCAGTAGTTGCTTTGCCAGTGACTTTCTCTATGACCTTGTGCCCTTTCTGGTTGAAGTTCCCCTGTAAAATGAGGTGCTTGGAGGTGAGATTCGTCAGGTCCCTTCAAGTTCTAAAGTTTTGGTATTCCTTATAGAAGTCTCTGCACATTGACTGCTGCTCCCCTGGCTATATTAAATTTGCCAGAGCTGAAATCTTTTGGTGGCAGTGTAGAGAAAGTGTACTTGGCAGTACCTGTTAATCCTATAGGGGGTCTTTGGGCACTTGGAAAAGTGCACTAGAGATGACCAGAATCCCAGATAAGGAAGGCCCAAAGCATAGGTGAAGTAACACTGAAGTGGCCACCATATGGGATTTCTTTAGTAAAAAAGCACCTTGCCTTTTCACCCAAGGCAGGAGCTGATGCCAAATGATCAGTCAAGAATGCTGATTAGTTTCTTTTAAAACGGGGTTCCTCCTCGTTGGTTGAAGGACTGGTAAAACTTCTTTTATGGGCAAGGACTTTTGGTGTTCTTATGGGCCTGACTGGTTTAGGCATTAGTGATTTGTTTATTTCCTGCTTGCTTATGAATTTCCAGCTTACTCTTCAGCCTTTAGTGGGGGTCCGTGAAATTATTGAGGCCTTTCCTATGGCTAAGTGGCATTTAGGAGCCTTTCTTTCCTTTCTGGTGTAGTATTTTTTGTAAGGGATAATGAATACTAGTTCCTGAAATAGTCTTTTCCCACTTTTACAATATGCTCTTTCACTGCAGCCATATTCCAAAAGCTCATTTCTCAGTTGGAGATTGAATTCCAGCCAGTTAATGGAGGAAGCCAGTAAACTTGTGAGGATTTTTTTCTTTTCTGTCCCCTTTATACTAGGAAGCTCTACACCTTTAAAATGCCAAGGTAGCTGATGAGGGGTAGAAATTAAAGGGGGTTTTTAAATACAAATATAAGGGATGTAGGGATATATAGTGAGTAGAAAGAGCATGGTACTTCTGTCATGAAGACCTGAGTTGAATTTTGGCTCTGCCCATTGCTTGGCTGTGTGACTCCAGAAAATTGTGTAACCCTTCTGAGCCTTACTTTGTCTATCTGCTGAGAGAGAGAGAGAGAAATTCATACTCAGAATGAATTTAAATGAGATGATGTTTGTAAAACACTTAACATAGTGCCTGGAACATAGCAGAGGCTTAGTAAATTGTAGCTATCACTATTAGTAACAGATTTTTCTATCCGGAGAGGGTAATGTAAGACAACTGGCTCATCTGTGACCTGTGAAATAAAATGCAATTCCAGGCCCCAGTGTCCACCATTACTTATAAAAGACACTTGACTAAAAAAATAGTGAAGGTTTTCCATTGCCAGGTAGCCAATGTGCAAGGCCTTGGTAATTTCAATTCAGTTGAGTTCAGATAAATGATTGGCAGACAGAATGAGGTTCTAATGTATAGTCTGTACTGTTGTGACAGAGCATAAGAGTGATTTTCATGACATTTAGTATTGTTGATATTCTTTTAAAAGTATGTGCCTGGGAGTTGGTGTGAGGGAGGGGAACACAGAAATAAAATAACAACAAAGCTAATGATTATAGCCACCCGTGGCTCACTCTGGAGAGTGTGGTGCTGATAACACCAAGGCCAAGGGTTTGGATCCCTATATAGGGATGGCCGGTTAGCTCACTTGGGAAAGTGTGGTGCTGACAACACCAAGTCAAGGGTTAAGATCCCCTTACCGGTCATCTTTAAAAACAAACAAAAATAAAACAAAAAAAACCCCAGCAGCTATAGCTTGTGCAACACAATTCTATAGCAATCATTTGCTCCATACAGCTGTTCTGTGAATAAGTTTTTATTGTCCTTCCTGCTTTAGAGATGAGGAAACTGAGGCTCAGAGGAGTGAAGTGACTGCCCAGCTGGTAACAGGGAAGCTGGGATGTCATACCGGTCCCTGTCCTCAAGGATTGTACAGTTTCAGGAGAGGAAACAGACGCATGAAACAATGATAAGTAGAGAAGATTGTCAGGGCTTTCGGAGTTCAAAAGAATTCAGAAGAGGCTGTGGTGGTGGGGACTAGCTTCTTTGAGTCTGAGGGCTGTTCATGAAGGATGGGTGGAAGTTCTGCAGGCAGAGAAGAGGATCTGCTGGGACTGGGGACAGCTAAATGAGGCAGGGAGTGGGGCATGGGCACATCTGCGAGCACCAGTCTGAGTGGAGCAGACATGGCTGTGGGGAATAGTTGCAAGTAGGATTTGGGTCACAGGATGAAACCCTGCTCTGGGGAGGCAACATCAATACAACTTTTAGTCTTTCTGGACCTCATTTCCCCACTCAAAAAATAATACCTTTCAACAGCTGCATGGGGCTCCAACCTAAATAATTCAGCCTGTTTAATTCAGTAGGCATTTATGAGTGCCTGGTGAGTGCCAGGCCTGTGCCAGGCTCTGAGGATACAAATATTAAAAAGCTTTTCTTAGGGAGCCTTCTGTAGAGGTAACACACTCACAAAAGGTGTCCTGGGTCTGAGTGGTTGGTGGAGTAATTACTACTCTGTCTCATGCCTGGGCTTCAGGTGGACGTTCTAACCTGGTGCTATTTAGTCAAACACTGAATCCACCTGTCTCAAGCTAGTGGCCAAGACCACGGTCTGACATAGCTATCTGTGCATTTCTTGCATCCATCTGGCCCTGCGTTCTGGAAGGTGGTTCTTGAGTAGAATGTGTGGTTCAGAGAGAGAGAGTGAGGCCAAGAAGTGTGGAGGAAGAAAAAGTACTTACTTTTATTTCTTGATTTTCTCTTCTGAAACAAATTTCAAAATGTTACTGTCTTGATCTTAACCTTCCACAACCAGTTGGAGTTAGATATTATATATCGAGAGTTCCCCCAGTTGGGTCTATGGTGCTCTGCAGGTGTTTGCAGTTTTCCTTGTGTTGGCTGGGAAAAGTTTTCAGATAATCCTTTTCCAAGAATAAAGTTTAGAAAGTTTAGATTCATTTAGATTCAAAGATCAGAGAGTAGTTAGTTAATTCTGACTAGAATGTTTGGGGAGGGGATCTATTATTTTCATAGTTTTGCTTTAATAAACATGTAAAAAGCAGATCTTCTTTTGCAAAGTTTATAGATTGAAGAGTGTTGGACATAAACTATTTCATAATGCCCTATGAATGCTAGGTGTTTAGCCTGGCCGTTTGTACCAAGAACAGTTACTCATCCCTCAGGTTGCTATGGCAGTTGGCAATTTGCAAGGCTGTTTTGCTTTAATTATTTTATTTAGTCTTCTCAACCTTGCGCGATACTCAGGAAGAGAACTGGGAGGAATTTATAATCATTAAGCACCTGCTATATGCAAACTCTGTACATGGAGTCTCATTTAATCCTCACAACATTTAATTATTTTGGTGTTATTGTCCCTGTATCACTTAAAAGGAAATCGAAGCTCTGACTAGTTAAGAGACTTGTACAAGGTCAATGCCAGAGTTAAGCCTACAGTCCACTCCTGATCTAAGTGCTTGTTATGCACTGCCAAGTTTGTTACTTCTTGCTGTCAGGTCTCATGACTCAGTCTCAATGGAATCACCTGGAGGATTTTTTAAAATGAAATACTGGGCCTTATTCTCAGAGTTTCTGATTCGGTAGGTCTGGGGTGGGGCCTAGCATTCCACATATCTAATAAGTGCCCTAGCAATGCTGGTGCTGGTCCACTTTGAGAATTGTTGCTCTAGATGAAAAGTTCTGCTTCCTTACTCTCTGCTTTATCTTTCTCTGAATATCATATGTGGGTTTTCTTGTGGACAGACTGTAAGTGTGATTATTTATCACTCATTCTTTCAGTTATTCTATATTGACTATGTATATATATCAAGCTAAGCATTTACCAGGATGTTCAGTCTAGTAAGGGAGCTAAGACAGGTACCTAAATCAGATAAGATAGAAAGTGATTGTGCAAAATTGGACAAATAAATGCAGTAAGGGAATGGAGGAGGGGAGGGGTCACCTCTAGTAGTAATAATAGTAGCTAAAGGTTTGTTTTTTTTAATTCTCAGTATTGTATTACTATGTGCCAGAAACTGAAGTAGTTACTCCAGAGTTGATGTCCTGTTATGCTGTGCTGCCCTCAGCAAGAGAGAGGTGAGAAAGAGCATTGTAGGAGGGAAGGAGGAACTCAGGAAGACTCTAAAGAGGTGGTGGTTGCTGAGCAGGGTTTTGATGAATGGGCAGGATTTGGTTCATGTGGAAATGGAAAGCAGGCTTGGAGGGCTGTCTTGGCAGAGACAACTTGAGCAAGTGCTGGATGTTAAGGAGTAGGTGGATGTGATGGGATTGGTTCTATTTACCTGACAAAGGGAAGTGGTAGGAGGCAAGACTGGAGAGG